TAGATTTATCCGAATGGCCAAACATCCACTTTCTCAGATAAATCTTATTTGCATCACAAAATCACATACTCAATTGTCCAATACACATCTCAACGTTGAAGTGTGAGTTAGCCAGGTTTGACAACTTAATCAATGATCTTAATTTACTAACTTCATCCACAAACTTCCATCGAAAAATTCTAAAGATTTTCAGTTCACACTCATGAAATCATTGGTCAAAGGCAAGTCCTATGATGACATTCTTGAAAAACCTGAGAAGTATGTGTGGAATTTATCAAAAATGATCCTAAGCCAAGTTGATACTGAACTTCTCTCTTTTGGATTTAAGTTTCACATTCCAGTGAAGTTCTTCAGCCAAGTAGATGCAGAGACCTAGTTTGAAAACCTATACCACCATCTCCAGATTTGAAGCCTTCTGATGAAGATAGGAGAGGTCGACCGAAGTCTAACTTGGCTCATGTAGAATTAATAGTAGTAGTAGTGTGTTTCAGTATCTGAAAAGTCGAAAATGTTTGCCAAAGAGTACAAACTGGCATTGGGAAAACTACACGTGAAGTCAGATATCGTTATATTCAGATATGTCATAATGAACAAAAACGATTATGTGAATGAAATGTTAACAATTCTCAGTGATCCGGTGAGATTCTAGTTGGATGACGCTAAAACAGATGTAAATAAACATCTCAGAGATCTTCTAAGTATGAAGTTGATTGACAGTGCAACATATAATTAATTCAAAATAAAGGTTCAAGTCTTCTTTTTACATATGGTTTACCCAAAATTCATAAATCTAATGTATCTTTGAGGTCTATAATGTCAATGATTAGTTCGCCATGTTACAAGCTGGCAAAATGGTTAAAACAAACATCTTTAGAGCCTATTCGGAGTAAGCTGGAAATCCATAGTTCACATGACATTTAAATTCTCTCACGAAATAGATCATGTCGACGTTTCAGATAAGCTAATGGTGTCAAACGATGTGACTTCCTTATTTACAAATGTACCAGTGAATGGAACAATTGATATCATCTGGCGACAAGATGGTCTAAAGCCGTCGCCCGAAATCAAAATGAAACAGTTACTACTCCTTTGCACCGAAGATGTCTACTTCCAATTTAATAACCAGTTTTCTGAACAGATTGATGAAGTGGTCATGGGTTCACATCTAGGACATGTCTTAGCAGATATCTTCAATGGGTTTCCCGAACAAACGCTCCTAAGTTCAGTCATTAGAGGAACAACGTATTACCCCAAGTACTTTGGCAATACCTTTGTTGTTTGTAATGATGTGAAACATGTAAGTGAGTTGTTTGACAAACTCTACAAGACTTGTTCTAACATTAAATTTACAATAGACTATGAGCATGAAAACGAGTTCCATTATTAGAACCTCAACGTGAAAAGAGTAATTGATGAAAAGATTGAAAATACCGTCAAAATAAAAGACATATGGACCGGACAATACCTTAACTATAACGGTTTCTGCGCCACCAGCTATAAGCGTGGGCTACTTAAGTCACCTTACAACAGAGCTAGGGAATTATGTTCTGTGGACAAGTTACAGGAAGAACTAAACGTTACTAAAAAGTGTCTCCGAGAGAATGGAAATCCTAAGAAATTTGTTATGAAGTAACGAAAAGAACATATCGAGACAAATAAACACCCAACTGTGGAAAAAAGAAGTTTTTTTATACACCTATGTTCAAGAGGGGTGCAGTGTCCACGTGAATAAACGTAAAAATCAGCTAAATTTTGCATCAGTGTACAATACTACATCCTCACTGAACAAGTCAAAATTGGATATTTACCATGGCCATGTCACCTCCAAATATCTTTATAAATTCACATGCATTTGCGGCAGCAAGTACATTGAAATGACTAACAGGATGACGCCGATTCAGTTTGCTGAGCATATCGACATATGAAGCACTGTATGAAACCGCTACTGTTCTTTAGGTGTGATCGTGAAGTACCACTTAGTAAGACGCTCTTCTTCACTGAAAAGTCCAAATGGTCCCTACAAACTCTGATTGAAACTTATGATGAATGTGACCTGATCATCCCCTAGTGAAGTTTTGCAAAAGATTTCCGACTAATAGCTTTGATATTAATCTACGCAGTACATTTATAATTAGAACAGATCATACGGTGATTTATTTTTACAAAGTGAACTCATGTTCATTTATTTGAGTATGTAGAGTAAACTGCTCATCTTTTACTAAAGAAGAACACGGTTTACAGAATAAATTGAACTCTATTTCATGGTTTTTCAACTATGAATACCCTTAAGTAAGCCTGTAGTTATTATGAAATTATCTATGTAGTGTTTACAGGTTGAAGAGATGCCGGGAAATATTTTGCCCATGTCAGTTTACTCACTTCTTATGAAAGTGATCAATGAAGTATGCTGTATAATATTCATTTGCAAGTGAATAATTTGTACAAAGAAAACTTCAAAGTCTTTTGTTTTTGAATTCTGATGATGCTTTCAACGAACCTCAGACAAGAAGAAATCTTTCAAGATGCATGTGTGAAAATATGAAGGATTCTCAGCATTTGCACATGCAGTTAGTATTACTATACGTTTCATATATGCCATATTATTTGCACTTAAATATGAACACAAAGATGCCTTTCTTCAAAACAGAACTGCTTTCGATGTAACTAAGATTTAGATTATTTTTTTAAGATTAGTTCGCATTTGTTATTATAATTTTTCTAGTGAAATACACAACATTAGAAGCGTAATTCAAAAGAACGTAACTTTGAAATTATCCATCGCAATCTTTTACTCCTTCAACTATGTTTGTTCATCCTTATTGAGACTAGTTAAGTTAATGATGAATTTATTTCACGAATGACGTTTGAATGTACACTACCGAAATGGTAAAAATGTTGACCGATGGTGAATGTGACAATAACAACACCATAACCAGCAAATAAATCAATAATATACCATTTGTATCTTCTACAAGAAACCTTCTACTTCATTAATTATATAAAATATGAATTGCATTAAACGTATTTCGCTTGAAAACGTGAATAAGTCATATAAACAGTCCTTGAAATAATATAATTTACTCAAACATAAGGAAGTATGTAATACTCTAGTTTTTTTTCTTTTGTGTCCATTGATCCGACTGACTGAATAAAGAGATGACAGATGTGAGGTGATTGTGTATCGTGTGAGGTTGGCATGCTTTACAACATATACATTTGAAAGGAAAATTAACTAGGGATGAAGGGGTACTGAAGAAAGACATGACAAACAGAAAAATGTGTGTCTGTGGGGTACTTGGTATCAAATACAACTGCGTCATTGTAGTAAGTTTCGAGTTATACGTCTGATGGCCTATTGCCGAACATTTCAGGCCTCTTTCTGAGTTACATTGATGAACAGCGGTTTTAGGTATTCACAACCCGTTCATCAAATAATTCTTTTAATAAAACAGTAATTACCAATCTGGAGGTAGCGTGTCATTTCCGCAAGTGATAAATACATCATCGATCTATCAAATATGATACGTTTCTTTTCGTTTTCTACACAGGTTAATTACTTTGTAAGATGAGAATGTCAAACGCTCGAAAATTCAAGATATTATATGAAAAACATTTGACCTCTTAGTCATGTTACAGTAATACTTGCAGATGGCACAAGTGACTACTGAATACGGAAATGCAGCTGAATTAATCTAGTGCTCATTGGTGACTTACTTTGAGAGGTGATTCCCGAAGTTACAATGAGGCGTAGTGACCAGTGGGGCCAACCGAGTTGAACATGAGGACAATTACTTAACGACGGCATTAGGTAGAGACCACGCTACATGGTGAACTGATAGAAGTAGGAAATATAAAACATGGGATACTGACCAGGGGGCTCAGTAGTAGCGTGCTAACCACGGAACCTGTAGGTCCTGCGTTCGATACCTGGCAGGATCATGAGTGCACGCTGCTGAGGAGTCCCATACTGGGACGAAACAGCCGGAGAATACGGACCTAAAATCAATGAGTAGGTTCCGATAGACCTCTTGACTGAATGAACTAAAATACACCCTAGATAAGACCCAAAGTAAAGTAGATAATTATGGGATAACAAAGTAACTATAACAGTGTGCCAAGTGATAAACTTTGATGACCAAGTAGTCACGTAAATCATCTAATACACCTTTATGTTGACCATTCTGCAAAATGGCAACTTTTCCATAAACATTTAATCATGAACTAATGTACATTCAAAAAGTGCTTGAAGCTGTTCACCATTACATAACCGTGTTTTGTTACTGCAGATTGCAAAACCTACAAACGATATGTTTCACAAAAATATTGCATCGTTTGCATGGTTTAAAAAGTTTAATTACTTCCATCTACTGATGGATAAATGCTCGCTATTGTTTTTTAAACACGTAAACTATGGTATAACAAAACTGGAAGTGTTATTTGAATCCAGAATTGCTTTACCATGACTTATTCGACAACGGATGTACTTTTCCGATTGTGTGAGACCAAGTGAATAGGCAACAAATTTAAAAAACGTTCGCAATTCAAGGAGGGGTTCAAAAACTTAGTCACTAGTACTGGGATCTTATAAACCACTAATGTACTTTGGGTTGTCAAGTTACTTATTTCTACTCTACTATCGGTACATATAACTGACTAACTGAAACCAAATGGCTGAATTCCTCTGGAAGATTATCCCGTAATTGGGATCAAAATTGAATGACAGGAATTTTAAGTGTTTCCCAATGGGGGAGAATAAAGCTTAGTCTAATTCAGCTGACAGAAATAAAAATTAAATATAAAACACAATTTTAGTCTAAAGATCTCTGTAGTTGGAGTAACATTCATATAAAACAATCCGCTAGTTAATCAGAAGCTGAGAAAGGTATATGCACATTCATAAAAAAGTTTGCAAACATGATAAAATGAGACGACTGAAACAACACCTTTTCGCAGTCAGCGATAAATTATAAAATAATGAATGAATAGCCACAGAAACTCACAGGTAAATAATCTCTGTTGGGATGGTGGGCTTTTCCACCACTGCAATAACTCCATGTATGATATCTAGATTTAATCAGTTTATCACTTTCTATAGTCTCAATTAATCCTTGATAAAGACGTGCAACTTCGTTAGCCATTTTTGAATTAGGAGAATCAGTCGGCCACGTTTGTGAATTCACTGTCGGTGTACTAAAGAGATCGTTTTTCCACAGTTCTGCATTCGATGAACGATTTGAAACATTAGTCACGACTGCCCCTATTGTCACTTCACCTTCCTTTTCCAGTAATTTATCATTTTCCTGATGAGTCAACCCCGATAAACGCCGTTTGGTATACAATGGCAATAAACTAAACTGAAAATATGAATTAGTTTTAGTGAGTAAACTTCGATAAGATTTAGGCAGGATTATGAGACTAAGATCAAAATAAAGTTATTTAGCGTTTGGATATACGTAAAGGAGTAATAAAATTGCAAACTTAGATTTGGAATGTTTCCTTTTACGAAAAATCTATAACTTTTTTACATTTTGAAAGTGAACATGTTTTTATCCTACACGTTATCTTATGAATTTTAATAATAAAATAGGCATTTGTAACGTCTAATTGAAATCAGAAAGAACGTAGAAATTCGGTTACTGGACCATATACTTTCTCTGTTCAAGAGAATTTTACATTTTGTCATCTCACTACGCAGGTGTATTGCGTGGTAAAATAAAGGGTCTCTATAAAATTGGTGAACAAACTACAGATATACAAGTAATTTAAACTGTGTACAAACTTAATAGACATCCGTTTATTTTGACTGATCTGTTGTACATGAAAATTCTCTGTATTATTTTTTGAATTGTGACCAAACGACGTATAATATAAAAGGCCTTGCTATCAATTCGGCATAGATATTAGACACATCTTAATTGAGCTACTAGTACCTTCTACACCAACAAGATACATTAAAAGAACAGTGTACCACATATAAGTGTAAAAATGAACACAGTTTTGTGTCACTAAAACATTTGATTAACACAACTAACAACACAAATGCTTTCTTTTCAACAGTATCCACTTCAGATAATTTGTTTTTTTGCGACTCAGAAATATGCAGTCGAAAAAAGAGCGGAAAATAGATGTGAAGCGTAAATATGAATAGAACAAAATAAATTACGTGACAAAAACTGAGAAATTCAATACAATCAGTGGAGGCGGTTCGAGATTGTGCAAAATTGTGTTTTCAGGTAAGCGGTGGTTTAGAAATTTCATTCTGAGGGCCCAGTGTTTGATAAATCCTTCACAGCTTCTTGAAATTGCTGGTTTCCCTTCAATGTAGTAAAGCGTTATTTAGCTAACATAACTGAGAAATCAGAAGGCTCAGATAAACTTCAAAGAATTTCTTCTGAAATCGTATTTACATACAAATTGGACGGATTTAATGAAAGTTTTTCCTTACAATGTTTTTTAGATGAGTCAGAATCTTGGTTAAAGTTAATAAAACATATTGTACGATCAGAAAACTACATAACAGTGAAGCACACTAACACAGAATGAACAATTCTCTTCAATTTCATAATCTGGTCTAGACCTTAAAGGTTTTAAAAGTTCTACGAAAGTGAGTCGACTGAGTAGACGGTACTACTTAAATAATCAGGCTAACTAAATGACAAAACCAAGTAAGAAGATTGGTGAAGCAGGCGGTAGATACAAAAAAAGGATACGTGTTTTGTATTAAAAATACTTCAATTTAGCCAACGATATTTGAATATTGAAAGAGTTCATTGATGACTCATTCTACGCTAAAACTTTATTTCAAAACAAACGGTCCAAGATAGTCTTCATATTTGTAAAAGCCAAACGTTTCACCAACCTACAACCCTAATACAATATGAATACGACTTAGGTCATAATCCTCATCACTACTCATATTTTTTTTATTTTTCCAGGTTAAACCGCGAAACACGGAACAGCCTTGATTGTTCAGTGGTTAATTTTGATTCAAGGAGGTTTGCAGCATACTCTGTTTAGTAAATGCTCCAGTAAGTATTTTAGTCATCATTCACATTAACAGATTTTTAAGACTTAATCGTAGAAATAAAGCTGATAGGGAAAAAAATAAATGCTTATTTTATATATGTGGTACTTGTAAAGGTATGCACTGCATATCTTCTTGACGCTTTGGCATTCACCAAAAACGTGGTCAGTACATACAGCTTGTTAGACGGACAATGGAAAAATGGTTAGATGAGACGCATTACTGATACACTTCAGCACATAAATAATTAGTTTGTTTGCCAGTCAACAGCATAAATTTGAAAAAGCGCTGACTTAACTCCAGAAACACTAAATTTGATAGCGGTTTAAATTATTTAATTCTTCAATATAAGATTGATTACTGGAGTGACTTTAAAGGTTACCCTAATAACTACTGAAATGACCAATTAGTTATCTATATTTTGTCTGGAAGAGTAGTTTTGATAAAGTACTGAAACTTGACTGGTTATTTCAGTAGTTGCTATGATAGCCTTTTAAGTCACCTATTTGTTTCACTCAATTGGTCACGACATTCAAAGTATTTCACGGACTCTAAAGGTTACTATAAAAACGACTGACGCAACCAATTAGGGTTCTATATTTTAGTTGAAAAGGTAGATACTTTGCAAATACTAGAATCTAATTGGCTACTTCAGTTGTTGCTAGGGTGGTCTTTACATTCACTGGCATAGTTTGCTCAAATGGTGAATGTGAAGCAGAATATCCTAGGTTATGGCTTCTGACGTTATGATTGTTACCACTGTTACACTAATCGATATCATAAATAAGTCTCTAGTACTTAACTTCATGAAATGACTAAAACACAACTAAAAATGATCTTGTATAAGCTTAAAAATAAACCATCAGGATTCAACGATAAGCATTACGAAAATAGCAATAAACATTTTTCGATTTCCACTGCAAAAACGTTTGAATAAAAAGAAAAAATGAAATTACCTTTTCTTCATGTTCTTCGACTGAAACTTGACTAGTTAGTCTATTAAACTTTCTATTGTGTCGTTTCTTTCGCTTTACACGACGTGCAGTGGTTGCTGACAATCTTTGCATTCTAAGAAAGAAACCATTTGATACACAGCTGGATGATGAGCCATCCTGACGAAACAAACGCGGAAATAGTTGTGCAAACATATTAATGATCGGTGGATGATGAAAATTATCATCTGGTTTGTTTGTTTGTATATGTATATCTGATTTACTGTTACAAGTGTTTGAAAGAAAAACAATTCTTATTATCATCGCCATCATGAGCATTAGCTCTTTTTTCTGTCATTGGTGGTGTTTCGGCTGCCGGTTGCTATACTTGGAAGAATTTTTTGAGTCTGATGTTTCTGCTTGATCTGAGACCACTTTACTAACTAATTGAGATTTAAAAGCATAACTGCTTTTAGGTAGACAAAATTTAAACCACTTTCTAGGAGCACTTCGTTTAGACTTCATACGAACACAATGATGCATATCTTCAGGGGCTGATCTAACGCTACAACGTCTTGTATACTGGGTTCGATGGCAATTTAGTTCAAGTTCAGACCATTCCTCCACTTTGGGCATAAAGTGACTTCTTGTTCACTGTCATCGCTTATACTGTGATGACGTATAGTAGGGGAGGTTAAGTCACCTTTAACAGATGTCTTCTCAGGTAGTAACGAAATTCCAGCTCTTGTATGAAGTGTGCGGGATGAGACTTGAGATATTGGTGAACTTGCCGTTTCTGTGCTGCTTAAAGCATATAAAGAACCCGGTTGCAGGGGACAAGAGCCAAGATCATCAACCGTGTCCAAAGACGGATTAAGATCACTATTTTTTGTGGCTTGTGAAGTGAACCTTTTGTCAACTGAATATGAGGACATCCGACTTCAGGTTTTTCATTTCTAAGTAAACAAGCTACAAGAAGGAAAAGAATTCAATACTAAGTATGTAGGATTCGGCTTACAATAACTTTAAAACAGTTTACTTGAAAAACGTCCACGCCATTTGCTGTTAGGTTTTTGTTATTTAAGACAGTTGAAATGAATGGTTAGTTTTAGGTGTGCTCTGTTTTTAAATTGTTGGCAGTGATGAAGTACTATGACCCTCTTAAACTGCACCAATGACTCAATATGATTGAACAAATGCTTACAAAATAACTGGCTTTACCGATCGGTGGTTATTTCCCTACAATTAACATCCGGGACTTACCTTACTTCAGTCAATATGCAGTTACTCTGTCAAGAAACAAAAGACAGAATCTGTAAACGGTTTTTAACAATAAAAGTATCCTAAATGAACTCATTTTTGCAGTGGTATTCATAGTTATTCACCATGATTACATGTCTTCACATAACATGATGAAATTCTGGAGGTGGAAACTTATATACTTCTAACTTTTATTCAAATTTTGATATAGTACATTACTGGTGGATAGGGTCTAGCAGTGAAATCCAGGATGTGCATTTCGTTCTATTTGGGACGCGGTTGGGTGCACCAGCTTCCCAGAAAGCGATGTTTTTCCTATTAAGACTCGAACCCGGAACCAGTCGTTTCAAACGCCTTAGCCACTAGGTCACCGAGTAACGATAGCCCCTTGCTGTGCAATGGGTACACTGTATATGATGTTGTTTGTATTATCCTATTGTTGACTGGACTGAATTGATCGCTGCTTATTGTCTTAATTCCCACTAGGAGGCAGAGACATCCAGCAGATGAGTCCCAAATAGGATGAAACGCGCGTCTTGGATTCCACTGCTGGCCACTATCAACCATTAATATATAAGCGAAACAGCCAATATCAAGGCATCCGCTCAATAGCCCATGTGCCAATGGAGACCGATCGCTACGGTCCAATCGACGACGGTATAATACAGGTGAAAACGTTATTCTGATGTAAAAATCCCTATTAAGTCATAAAACAAAAGACGATTAGAGAAGAATCTCGCTTTCAACGACCTGATATTACTCTGAGAATCAATAGTGTTCTCTTGTCACCTTAATACATTACAGTAAAAGACAATATAAAGCTATTAGTATTAATATTATTATCATTAAATTAACTCATTCTGCCAATTATTTTCATTATTTTAGTGTTTATTACTTAGTATATAACGAAGGAGACTTTCGCAATGCAGTTTTACAGTTTCACATAAACTGATGACATGGTTGAATCATAAGTGGTGTGAACAAAAGAAATCTGTTGCCGGGGCAGAAACGTCGAATCCTAGTTACCTGTATCGACAATGAATACTACGGTGTGGAACAGCCAGGTCAACCTACATAATATTGTCCTAATGAAAATCAGCTGGCTGTTAGAAGTCACTATATTCAATAGCTTTTATTAATACATTGGGACAATTGCAACCACACATTAAACCAGGGTTCTGAAATATTCGAAACTGAAAACTTAAAATCGTGAGTTCTTGGAGGCTTGTCATTTACATAAGTCAACAATAAGTGGTCCCATTAATCTAAATACAGTATGTGAGCCTATTCAGAGAATATGTAAACGCAGACATGAAACTAGTACCGATCGACTAGTGATCATCAATAAATAGGTCAATATTCGAAGGTTAATCAATCTCTTTGAAGGACCACATGTGCCATTAAAATCCAACGAAAGTAAATGATACAAGAGCTCATTTTGTTTGAAGCAAGTTGACCAGTCAGAGTAAAAAATATCTTTTCACCTGATTAGACGTAATGAGAATACAAGGAATTCTCAAATGAAGGGCTGATTGCTAACTCAGTACTCAAACAAAATTTTTTATTTTCAGACTCTTATCATCAAATGTATCTTCACTGAATATGAACATACCATCACCAGAATTCATCGAATTGGTATTAGAATGCAACGATTGGTTTTGGCATCGCTTTTGTACATCGAAACATTCTTTCGCAACCATAGCTGTATTTAGCTTTTCATCATCATTGACAGAAGTTTTATGCACCTAAAGTAGCCATAAGATAAAATGAAGAATTTAATCTTACTCTTCTCTGATCAGTTTGCAATGGTTCTTTTTTTACTGCAAATTTCTCATCTGGAATAACACATGAAGATTTCGGGAAAACATTTGGTTCTTTAGTTTTTAAATCGCTGAACTTCATAGTGTGAGTCGAAGAGACATACTTGGAATTGAATTTCCGCTGTCTTCTAGTTGAATAAATATTCAGATAGGCTTCTAACATGCTAAGAGCTTCTTGTGTAGCATGTAATGGAGTTTCCATTGGTTGCACGTTCAATTCAGACACAAGGTTTTGCACGTTCGCTAGATTAGATTGATGTGAATCCTCACAAGCCTTCCTCATTTTCCGTTATACATATATAACTGGCTGGAAAGATGAAACAGTAACAGCCTTATGCAAAGTTTCCACGCGAAATATTAACCGCACAGGGTTCAGATAAAAACAATAATCATACCGACAGTTTAATATTATATATCAATGGGCAGAGTACACAGAAGCAACAGAAATACGGCTAATATGCCTTCATTTTACAGTGCTTTTATGTTGTTAGTTTATATCCACGCATCCCGTAAATTTCACTATTTTGTTACTGCTATTTGATAAAGTTAGTAATTACGTCTCATAGGAATGCTGCTTACGTTTTTGTTCCACACTTACATGGAACACTAATTTTACGGTCGCACCATCCAGTATAGCTCTGTGTTCAGATGAGTTTAAATTGTGCTTTTGGTGGGATCTCATTGACCGTCTCTTGTTTCCACAGAAAAGTACCTACTTTTGAAATCCTTGGATCTCCCGCTAACTGTTTAACGAAATTGGAATATCAGGCATTTCGACTTGAATTTTCAAATTTCGTTTAGAGGTTACGTCTACATCTTACTGAGGAAGACATCAGGGTTACTATTGAACCTCTTGTTGCTTGCAATGTATGTAAATGCATTGTTTACGTTTTGGCTTACATGAGAATTAATTAAGGTTCTAATTTTTAACCTGAACTTATAACGATTTTAGAAAGTATAGTTCCCATTGCTGACGGTCTGTCGTTCAGTTTTTACAACTGAGTAAATTAGAACAAAACATAAGCGAATAATATTATAGTAAAGCTTGAAGAGGATCTAACTGAAAACAATATTCTTTGCTTATATGTGCTGCTCTACTGAGAAAATACAAACATCCGGATCCCTTTTAAAGTCATCTACGAATGACTGTTAACAAACAAGATACTGGCCTAGTATGCTCCAGCCTTTCAATTTTTGACGTGAATGCGCTAATCTGTGACCCGTACTATCTTTGTCTAAAGAATTATAGGAGTATAGTAAGCCCGACTACTTTAGCTGTTAGGTTTTTTGAAAGATTATCTATTGCTTAATTCTGACGAATTTAGAATAAAATATGCTTCCAGTTGTGGAACTACAAAGTATTCAGGATATCATTCTTTTCATTACCATTGTTATTACTATTAGAACACAAACATGATACAGTAAAAGCACCAAGAAATGCGCCACACAAATTAATATAAAAACATTATGCAGACATAAAGAGAAAGCAGTTGTATAAATAAAAAAGGAAAACAATAAAATAGGATGATTAGGACAGACTAGTAAGGTATATTCACAACAAAACACTCATTACTTTTCAGCAGCAGAAGATAGAAGGAAGCTAGAGTATAACCACCACTGGTTTTGATTCTTATCCATATCAGATAGCGTCTTAAACAACCACTTTGCGTCATCTCTCGAACCCCACCCAGGGAGTCGTGAAACACTCCCGATGCAACTATCTTTCATCACACGGTGACATGTCATACACTGACCAACCTTCCTTCTCTTCTATCCAGTTCCAGGGCTAGAAAACAATGAACTGCATTGAATCCGTTGGGACGGCATCCGTACCATATGTTCAAGCCACCGAAACCGGTGTTTCCAGATGACTTCACTTATTATATGGTGATCTCCATCATGCCCAAACACGCTGTCATACCTCAAAATTACTTACATGGGTTGCCACCGGATACCAGCAATTCACATGGGAGACAACGATGATCAAACGCATAGAGTTGTCACATATCCTCAGCTCGGAGAGGCTAGGTTTCACAGGCGTAATGTAGAACTGCTCTTACTAAAGCGTCGTCAACCCGACCTTTTACGGTTGGACTAAATGCGTGACGGTGTCTAAGGTTGCTCAGATTGGCGTACACCAACCTGGATTACGATATGCGGTTATAAACTTCATCACTCACATAACTATCCAGTTACATAAACTTTTTGATTACTTTCAGTGGCTCATCAGAAAGGGTGAGCTGAGGCACAGGCTCCTGCCAATCTTTCAAAAGTACTTTGGATTTCGAAGGTGCAAATCACATATCACACTTACAGACACTAGTCCCCAACTGATTTCGTGTAATTAGAGTAGCCTGTATGTGATCACACAGTAAGACGATATCATCCGCGTATTCAAGGTTCTCTGAGAAGTAGATCTACACCACTGTCACCCGCCTGCTTCAGAGTGGTCTCAAAAATGCCATCGAAAGCAAAGTGAAAAAGGAATGGAGAAATCAAGCAAACCTGCTTAACTACATTTCTGGTTTGGAACAATGGAAACATGTGGGTGTATGCCTTTACTCTACCTTTCAAGATCCTAATGAATTTCTCAGACACACTCCTCTCTACCAGACAACTCCAGAGTACAGCTCTGTCTAAGAAATTAATGACAGCCGTAACGTCAAGAAACCCAACGATTGTTGGCCTGGAACATATCTGGCTATGCTGAAGTATCTGGCGGAGGGTAAACACATGATTAATGCATCCGCGACCCAAATAAAACCCAGTCTACTCTTAGTGAATTATTTCCTCATGCGTTTTGCAAAGCCTGAGAAGTGTGACGGCGGCCAATATTTTCGACAGGAGTGATATTCCGATGATTGTTAGATACATAACGTAGACCCTTTATAAAGATGGGCACAATGATGGTCTCATTCCAGAGTGATTGAACACTCTCAGTCTGCCATACCTTCTCGAACAATCTAGTCAGTTCTTTGATTAGAGTTGTTTCTCTATCCTTAAAAAGGACCAGGGGTAAGTTGTCTGGGTCCAGTGCCTTGTGGCGTTTCAGGACTTGAGGTTCTTTATGGACCTCCGCGTCGTTAGGTAAGTTTGTGTCAAATGACCATTGAGCGCGACAAACTGAAACTGGAAGAGTGTTCCAGCTAAACTACTTTTCGAAGTGCTCCGACCAGTGTCCCAGCTGTCTTCCAAGATTGTTTACCAGAGCATCATCTACCTCATAGATAACCTCACTGACACCTGGCTTCTTGCTGCTAGTGGCCCACATGAGCTGGACCAAATGCCGTCTGCTGCTTCCATTTAACTTGCTTATTCTGACCACCAAGCCTCATGGTCCTTGAGTGAGCGTTGTGTGGTCTTTCGTGTCAGAGACTTACGCAAACCACTTTGCTCGCTATTCGCCGGAATAGTCCGACGGGCGTCAAGAAGTTGCAGGGAGATCACAGAGATCCAGTGTTTCATAACAGGATGTTTTTCCTAGCTGCAAACGGCTTTAAACGCCATTTTCATGGCGTTTTACAAGTGCAGCCAATGCTTGTCTACACTTTCTGGAGGATCAATAGCAAGCCTTAAATCTAGCTCGGATTAGTATTTAGTTGCAATGTTAGGTGCAACCAACCAAAACACAAGACGAGCTTAGTACGCACTAAATCATGATCAGACTCCAGATAAGTACTTTGAATAGGGTGGCAGTCGTGTATGCACTCACACCATCGGTAACTGGTTGCAATATGATCTATTTCAGTTCAGGCTAGAGTGGCAGAGGGAGGACGGCAAATAGCACATTAGCTATGGCAAAGCTGGAAGTTGGTGCTGGGTACAAATAGGTTGTGATCTTGAAGTAATGGAGAATATTTGTAGCTCAGGTGGACGGTCTTGGTTGTATTGTGTTCTCTGAGCTGGGTTGTTTAATAGTGAAGCTTTCATCGCCTTTCTAGACGACATCATCAGCACTAACTTCAGTATGAAGTGAGCTGTCAATATCTCTCCGTCAGTGAGTGATTTAGTAGCTTACTCTGACGATGTGGTCTGTGATTGGTTGTTTCCTTTGATTGTTGTGTCATTGATTGTATAGACTTTCCTGTTGGCTGTTCCTCTGCTTCACCTCTGACCTTTCTGTCGTTTATCATTTTTCTTATTGGTTGATAGATCGGGTCTATGTGTATACATCTATTGATTGCTGACTGACCTGAATGCCAAGCTTCTAGGAATTCTCTGATATTCTTTGTGTTTCCTCTGTCCAAAATTTCTACATTGTCGAAATTGAATTCATGTCCATAATTATCTACATGCATTGAAATGAGTGACGAAATGTCGTGGTGTTTAATAGCTAAACGGTGCTCATGTAGACGTAGGCGAAGAGGGCAACCACTTTGTCCAATGTAGTGCTGACTACAGTTATTGCAGTTGATTTTGTAAATGATATTCGGTTTGTCTTCTTTGTTTGTTGCATCCTTTGGTCTGCATAATAGTGTTTGGAGGGAATTTGTTGGTTTATGAGCCACACCAATTCCAAGTGGTCTCAGCAATCTTGTTGTGATTTCTGATATTTTCTTTATTTTGCGTTTGTTGATTTCTGTGGATGACCTTCTAGTTGGTGATGCACGGGATAGGCATCTCCTGATAAAGTTTCGTGGGTAGCCGTTCTTCTTTAGGGTGAACATCAGGTAATTTTCTTCCTTCCTCCGTGAAGTTGTTGTGCTGCAGTGTGTTCTCGCTCTTCTGAATAGAGTCTGCACGCAACTGATTTTGTGTGTTGTTGGGTTGTTGCTGTTGTAGTTGAGGATTTGGTTAGTGTGTGTTGGCTTCCTGTACACTTGGGTTTCCAGCTTTCCGGCATTTTTCTGCTGACTAAAACATCCATGGAGAAAGAGTCAAACAACCAACATAAAGCATACATTTCGAGGTGACATATGGATAACTAATTCGAAGCACTTCATTAAGGATCTTGTATACGGGTCTCTAAGATGCAGTATACATCATTAACGAGGCCTTCCAGAGTTCCAGCATCAAGACACAGACGTTGAAGGTGGAGAGTTTAAATGACACACGAGGTTTCAGGATAGCTGTTTCAGATGTCACACTGGAGGATATCTTTATGGAGGTAACTGTTCAGCGACTCAAAACGGTCCAGATAGATCAGAAGTCTGAGCAATACGTAGCAGCTGAGTGAAGTGAAGATAAAGACAACAGAGAAAATAGTAACCATAAAAAAATACAGTTCATATCTCAGAACAACAAAAACAATATAATAACAGTAAGTTGAAAAATTATTTATAGTGTTTGTGGTGTAAAAGGTTTGAACATTCCCTGAAAATTTCGGTTGGCGCTTCAAAATCTTCATTTTTACATCGTAATTTTACGTTTTATGTGAGTCCTGAAATACTACCCGGGCGCCAAGACTGAAGTAGGTGGTTGTTTTAAGGGACCACTTCCCGAGCCATTGACCTAAAGCTTAATCTACAAGGTAGCGAACCAACAACAGTCCCATGGTTGCTAGTGACCACAATAGGTTCATACGCCATCCGTTCCACCTAAACCCTGGAGCTCATGTACACTATTGGTTTCGAATCAGGATCACCAACATCCCTAAGTGAACCATCAGTACCTATCAATCCGGTGATAAGCCCCGGATATTAGTTTTTGCTCTTTCACTTCTGTGGGAAATCCCCCCGCCACGTGCAGGCAGTGAAAATGCCTTCTCTGACAAAGGTTGTGACGGCATACCAGGGTATTTGGGTTATTTAGGATAACCAATCTAAGTTGGTAACTTATGAAAGGTAAAACAGGTCTGACATCGCACCGATGGTATGAATGAATAAACTTATTTATAACTGATCTCAGTAAAAGCTTTTCATAATGTCTCCTATCTGAATTTTATGAAGAGCCGGAGGAACTTTACAACTAATGGTAAGAATAAGAACTGCAATATAGACTTTGTTTTTCACCAAGGATAGAGATTCCGGGTTGACTAGCTTTACTTGCTAATAGAACTAGGTAACGCTTCAGTGCTTACTATCTAAGAACCACTTCTATTTTTACTACATATTATCAATTTATAAACTAAGGTTACTTCTTTCTTTCTCATGTTCAACGACGAGTTCACACTCTTGAAAACTGAACAATAGAAACCAGATTGACAAACCTTACACCATAAACTTGATACACTGTAGGATTAGTCTATGAGTTAGTTCCTAATAATAAAGGGTAATAAGAGCATAGTCGTGCAAGTAAGTCAAAATTATCTGCATGAATGATCTCCCACTAACACGATTCTGTCTAGATTATTTGAATATAATGATGTAAAGATTTCAGCAACCTATAGGACGATGACAACTAAAATTTTCAGACTGTTGCAGTAAAATTAAAACACCTTACGGAGCCTTGATGAGTATATATTTATGACTCCATGCCTACCATGTAACTTATTTTATAGCATGGAATTCAAACAACTACCTCATCCTATGAATACAAATTGAATATTAAGATGAGGTTACAGGATTAGAACTAAGACTGACAATGGCCTTGAAACCATGCTTACATAGGATGATTGGTTCCCCTCGATCTCTTTATACCGTTTCACCATAACATGAGGAGCGATCTCAAATCGGTGCAGTCTTTTCCACTGAAAATTTCGGTAGGACTCTGGACACTGATATCATTACTAACGCTCCCCAAATGGAATCGGTTGAAATCTCCAGAGAGATACGTTTTCAAATAAACCTTGTGGAGTGACTGAATTCAAACAGGGTCCACTTTAAAATGTTGACTGATATTGTTGATGCACCTCCAGATATGTTATTTAACACCATCTTATTTCAGAAGCAGGTTCTCGGCCATTAGAAGGATGCAATAGATAGTTCTTTGTTAAATGGGGATAATAGACAACCAACCAGATAGTCTTATTAACATCGTGGTAAAAGCCTTGGAAAAGATACCATGAGATACAAAACTGAAGCATTTAGAGAAACATAATCTACTCACGTAGCGGTAATAAGGCCTTCAAACTGGATGCTGGTCTTTAAAAACTAACTTCAAGAGAGAGAGGACTGATTTAAGGCTAATGACAATAAGCTTCTTTTAGACGTGGTGTGCACTGACTTTTGCAAGGCTTTTGATAAACTATCATTCAGTGATGGTGAAGAAGTTTCATAAACTCAGTATAAATATGGCAGTTCAAGCATAGATTAAAGAATATTTACAAGACAAGGCAAAGAGCAAGAGTAAAATGAATGCATCCAGAAAGGCAGTCTTTTACCACTGATATTCCTCAGGGTATTATACTTGAAGCACCACTATTCTACTTCTACACTGATGAAACCACAAAGGTGCTCAAGTTGTCTTTGATATTCGCTGATGATGTCCAGATAGGTGGATATTCATGATGAGGACGACAGGTCTGAAATCCAGAAGAACTATGGTGAACTGATTGAATGGTATAAGATATGAAGCTTGGAAATCGATTCCAGTAAGTGTTGAGATAAACACTCAAAGTGGTTACCATATGTGATACTCAATGAATCACCTAAAACCATCCCAGGTTTTACAACAAAATGTCGTAAATGATACTGTAAGTCAAAACCTAAAGACGACTGGAAATCGCAATACTTCTGCAGCTAAAGCATGTAAAATGTTTTGGCTGCTTCGTAAACTGTTCAAGAGCTTAGATAAATATGTGGTTGAGATCCTATTACCGACTTGTTCAAGATCTCATTTAGAGTACTGTACTCACCCAGCAAGTCCTTGCTTCAAAAAGTAGACTAATAAATTAAAAGTGATCCAAATGATTTTCCTAAGCTGGTGAAGCGTTTTACACACCTCTTTTACCAAGAACCATTAGCAGCACTACCTGTTTTTCCTTTGTCTTATTGTAGAAGAAGAGATGACCTGATTGTAGCCTTTCGTTTATTGAATAATGACTTGAATAATTATTGATCTTATCTGGGTACACCTTCTATGACTGATCAGCTTAAAGGCAATCAACAAAGGACCACAAATCCGTGATCGAACCATTTAGGGGTGGAGCACCGGTTCTTCCATAAAGTATACAAAAATACGAGTTTATTACCGGCAGCGTCTTCGGTAAACAAGTTCAGGAAAAAGCCGTATCTTCATTAAAATAATTACTGAGAGGGTCAACATGAGTTGAAAGTTCAAACCAATGATTTAAATAAAACAGTACCTTTGGGTTTCCGTTTTGTCTAAAAATGATTTTTACCCTGATCATCCCTTTAATATATGAATTTTTATGTAGGAACTCAGTTTTTGGTACTGAAAATGCATCTAAAATGCAGAAAGTACCCCCAAAGCGCTTCTCAATACTTAGTGATGGCTCTGAATAGTATAAACGTTCTGCGGAATGATTTCCGGTTCTCCGTCGAGTCTCATATGGACGATTCTACTAAAAAATCACTTCAAACTAGCTGATTGCCACCAACTACCACTATTCTACTCATAGATATTCAATATCTTTTATACGGGCTTTTATAAACCGGTTGGTTTTTTCCTATTTGGTCCTAGGTAGTGGGGAACGGTTCCAGGTCTTCGGCGGATTCCGACGGAGTAGATCCACCCACCCGCCTACTGTAACTGCGACAAATTCAACGGATGGTTGAGTATGAGCTAAATTTGTAGAGAGGTGTATGATTTGTCCTGGATTCCGCTGATGTCGTATCACCAGATAGTTGTTCAGACTGGTTGTAAGAGCAGGATAAGTAAAGTGAAAAAATAACTGCGGAAAATAAAGGAGGGATAAGTGGGAAAAACAAAAGGATCAGAAGTGAGACGAGACGAAAGGATAAATCTAGGTAAATTAGTGGAAGACGGGTATGAAAAGTGATAAGAATAACCTTAATAAATATGATACAATCACAGGAATTCAGTTGGATGGAAGGGATTAGGTGAGATTATAATAGGGATAGTAGGAACAGAAGTAGTAATGAAATTAGTTACGGTATGGTAACTGGAGAGGTGAGATATATGAAGTTGAATCTAGTTTATAATAACAGTGGCAGCTTAAGAGAGCCAGCATGGAGATAACTGGGTTGGAACGATGCGGGATCGGATGGCTTTTTCGACCTAGTCCGTATATTAAATGGGTGGGCGTAAGCCATTTATCACTGCGTAACTGTCCAAACGTTTCTTAAAGTTGTCGACAGATTAGGTAGTGGTAAGCTCAGCATCCAATGATTTCGAGTGAACGAATGATGAAAGAGAAAAGTGTGAAACCAAACAGGTTTTCCCCCCTTTGATGATCAGTTCTCTCAGAGTTCCCATGAAGTTCGCAATTACGATCGTTCAGTAAAATTTCACTATCTTAGTGACTTAGATCCCTTAGTATCGTATAGACCGTTATCAAGTCACCACATAAACTACGGCAACTAAGAGAGTAAAGATCTAGATCCTTCAGTCTATCTTCGTGTTTTTTGACACATTCCAACAACAACCTTTCTCCAGGGTGTTTGCATCTATTTTTGGTTATGGTAGTCCGATGACATTATAAAACCACTAAGTGAGGTACTATTTGGGTCTCCTAAGGTTTCAGAAAGAGTCCCGGGGTAACGGTATCTAGTTTTCTCCACATAAAGTGTAGCACTGAGCAAGCTAGGAAGGCATTCGTTAGGTAATTGCAACTGGTGTCTAGTTTGTTAGTGAGCATTAATCCTAGGTCTTTCTTCTTGGTCGTGTCAGAAAAGTACTTACTAAAGAAAGAGCAGAACGTTTTCTGCGGGTTGAGAGTTCTAAGAAACATGGTCCTGCACTTATACAAGTTAAATTTTGATCCACTGTTTTCCAGCCACCCTTTGAGCACTCTGAGGTTGTCTTTTAGTACGCTCGATTCTTTTAGATGTCACAGCTCTCCTTAACATAACGTCATCAGCGTAAAGTTAAATTAGGGAGCTGAAACTTGATAGTGTCATAACAAAAAGATTAAGAACACCAAGAGAAGAAACTTCGCTCCCTGTGATACACTGAATGATGCTTTCCAAAGTGAGCGAAATTGCTGACTTTTGTGCAAAACAACTTACTGTCTAAATATTCCACAATCCAGGACAACCTCCGATCATTGGTGCCCAACCTTGCTGTTTTGCACATGCGAATAGCATGTTAGATGTTGAAGACCTCAACAAAATCAAAGAAAAATTGCATGAACGAGTATCTGGAAGTCCTAGCATTCTTTTTAATTGTCATATGCTGCCAGATGGACTAGAAAGCAGGACTGACGCTGTCAGAAGGCGTGTTGAACATCACCTAGTCACCCTTTTGTGTCGAAGTATTCCCTGATGTGGTCAGTAATCAAGCCTTCGATTGCTTTTGACGATATTGGCAGAGGTGATATAGGTTGCTAGCACTTCGGTTTTTGCCTCTGAAAACTAGAAAGAAAAGGGGACGCTTCTACTTTTGCATGAATTCCCGATTTTGTAAGAAGTATTGAAACAAGCTGCAGAGTGAACAACATAGAGCAACAGCACATTATATCAACAAACAGGGTGAAAAGGTTGTCACCTCCCATGAAGTTTCCTGTGCGAAGCTTTGATAAATTTTTCTAGAACTACAACATAACATTTCAAAACAACCACTATATCCACTATACAATTTTATCTTACGAATTTATAGTTCCCTTAACCTGCAGTAAGATATCGAGGAAATTCCATAAAATATGTAAAAAAAAACACCACGGTGTAAATGATCAGTTACTCATTATTATATATTTATACACCAGTAAGAGAAGTAACCATGCAAAGAAACTTACGTTTATCTAACAGAAAAGATAATCTTTACTATTTTTACATAAACAAAAGAAGCCATCAGACATATCTGAAATAAATTCTACAATCCAATATCCAATATCTGTTTAACAAGCTTGTGCAAACCAGTTGCTTTCTTCTTGCTCGCTTCTAACAGAAACTCGTACAAAATCCGATTACAGCGGTTTCGTCAAAAGTACATGTTTTAGTAGTATAGTAGTAGAATAAAACAATCAAAATGCGCCTTCCCAAATGACATGAGAATGCCGCAAAGAGCAGTTGAACCGAATTATTATACGTTTTTTAGTGGCATTTTTATTTGCAAAGATGTCCAATATCCAATATTTGTCCGACGAGCTTGTGAAAACCAGTACAATATCCAATGTTTGTTAAGCGAGCTTGCGTAAAACAGTTGATTTCTTCATGCTCGCTTCTTGATCTTGATGAGGGTTCCAGGTCTTTGGCGAATTCGAATGCAGCAGATCCAGCCACTTGTCTGTGGTATACAGAACAGGATGTTAAGTGTCGGTTGGTTCGCCTTGGACTGTGGTACAGTTGGCTTCTCTTCTTGCCAGACAGTTGTCCGGACTGGTCGCTACACAGAGTTGAGGGCAATGAAGGGAAAACCTAGAAAGAAAAAATTGTTTGAGTAAGGGGGGAAGTAAAGTGGGCTAATTGGGTAATCTACTCACACTGAAGTTAGGGGAAAAGGGGTGTAGGAATATGAAGAACTTAGGTAGGTAAGGCTAACTCATGGCAAGCGGGAGGAATGAGATGGGCTTAGGTGGTCATGGTAGAAAGAAAACTGGTTGTATCGGTAAAATGGTCTGAATGGCATGACAGCAGTAGATTTCTTCTGTTTAGTTTGTATTCCAGCTACATTTGGGTAGACCATGGGACTGCGTGATTGTCAAACAGATGGGGCGGTGACTACTTCTGCTGGTGACGTATTCCAGTGCCCGCAGTCTCAGAGGTAGAGGTGTGAACGCACATGGCTGTTTCGCCTTTGGTGGGCAATTCTCTTGGGGTTTCCACGAGAATCACCATAGTGGCCTCTCGGTAGTAATCCTCTGTCAGGGTGACTTCGGCTGTTCGGTATTTTGTGAGCCATTATCGAGTCACCGCGTAACCTTCGGTAGTTCACAAAGTACATGCCTAGGTTTTTCAGCCTATCCTCATGTGTTTTTCGTTGTATCCCGACAACCCGTTTTGTGGCTCAACTCTGAACTTTCTGCGGCAGGTTCGTGACTCTTTTGAGTTGTGGAGAAGCGGAGACAGTATGGACCTCCAAGTGGGATGTACGTAAATCCTGTGAAGCTTTAGAAAGAGCTTTTGGGGGACGGCGCCTAGTTGTCTGCGTACAAAGTGTAGCACAGCGTATGCTTTACAGGCGTCACCTGGGTACTTGGAACTGGTGTCCAGTTTCTCCGTCACCGCTAAACCCAGATCTTTTTCTGCTGTGCTGTGGGATAAACGTGAACCACAGAGAAAGTAGGATACTTTCCGGGAAACAGGAGTGCGAAAAAAAATATACCCGTACTTATCCAGGTTAAATGCCAGTTCGTTATTTATTGCCCACTCCACCAGTGTTTCAAGGTCGTTGTGTAGTGCACTCGATTCCGCTTTGCAAGTTGCTACCCTCCATAACTTGACGTCATCAGCGGAAAATCAGAGAACTGATATCCACTGGAGTCATTCACGAAGAGTAGGAACAACGAGGAACATAGGACTGATCCTTGTGAGACACCGGACGATGACGTCCTCCAGGTTGAGTGGACCTCGTCTACTTCTGTGCGAAACTCCCTACTGTCTAAGCAGTTCTGCAGCCACGGCAGCACCTAACCGCGGATACCCAACCCAGCTATTTCGTTTATGAGGATGGAGTTTGAGACAGTGCGAATTGCCTTGACGAAAAGCAGAGAAACCACCAGGACCGGGACCTTGAGATCCTAGCATGCTGTCCAGTGGTCATGGACAGTGAGGAGATCGGAGGCATAGGATATCCCCTTTCGGAAGCCATGTTGGGAGTCACTGAGTGCTTGCCTCGTGTTCAGACATGCCCTGATGCGGTCATCCATCCCACTTTCCATAACTCTTGATATTACGCGTAGAAGTGCTGTGGGTCTACAACAGTTTTGATTCTACCGGTCTATTCCTTCGAAGATGGGAGAAGGGATGACCCACTTCCACTCTCGTGGGAGTCTTTGTTCGTCCAAGGAGTGCTGGAAGAGACTGCAGAGTGGACTACTTAGGATGCTTGCACATTATTTCAACACAGACGAATGTCGTCGCACCCTCGGATCTTCCCGAGCCTAGCTGTGACAGCTTATCGAGGACAACAGCACAATTTTTTCTTACTTCGTGCAACTCTGCAGCGCCGGATGACTTTGAGGGCTGTTCGGGCAGTAGGTATACATACGTTCCTCATGGAATGTTGTGCTGTGTCGAATGTGGTGCTTAACATTTCGGCGATCTCTTGTCCAGAGAGGTTTTCTCCGTTTGGGCCTTTTATAACCCGCGCTCCTTGGTTTATCAATTTTCTATTTGCCATGAGTGGGCATAGGTTTTTGGAGTCTGCCTCAAGTTTCTTAGTGAGATTGGACTGTAACGACCTCCCGTCTCCCCGCACCCTGATGCTGCTTCGATTTCGTAGACCTATCTTTGGGTCGTGATCATCCTCTTCTCTGGAGAGTCTCTTCGTGCCATGTCTTCCTCTCGGCTTTTGGGAAGTTCCTGGTGCCTCATTTTAGTCATGAGGTCCGCTTTCGAGGTGTCGTTACCACCACGGAGACGTTCCGTGAGATCGCCGCCGGCATGATATCCCTTACAAGCTCCCAGTGGTAGTCAGCCGACAAGGACCACCAATCCACCGACCATGGAGCTTTCGGTAGGCTTTGTCTATTCCTTTATGGTTTGCCTTGTTGTAACAGAGGTAAGGGCGTGGTCCCTCCCACGATAAATATTCACTGATAATCAGGTCAAACACTATCATAGCATGATCGCTGGTCCCAAGAGAGGTTTGGACCTGAATGTTTTTAACCAGAAGGCGGTCACTGGTCAGTAAGTAATCCAGTTTGGATGGTTGACCATCGGACCCCCAGAAGGTGTTGTCGTTAATTTTTTAGTGCAGTCCAACCAGCTGGATGGTAATCGGCAGGTTACAATCGAACCTCCGGCTCAAAATCGTGCCACCTTACCCTGGGCTGAGGGTTGGAGCGTTGAACTCGGCAGCCACTGGGATCTGGTCATACCCCATAGTCGACACTGCGAATATCACTGGGAGCAAGTTTGGTTGTGTCCCAAGTTACTATTAGCGGACCAGCGGGTTCCTCCAACCAAGCACTTAGTGTGTTTCAACGTGAAGTGGCACCAGATACAGTCTGGAAGCTCTGTCAGTACAGCGTCAGTGGTTTATTCACTTTTGAACAGACTGTTCACGCATACTGCAACCCCCTTCGTCCTTGCGTTCTCTGCCTCTCTTGAACATAAACATGTTGTTCGTGTCAACTACGGTGTCACTAATGTCCAGTGATAATTACGTCTCCGTCAGGATTATGGTGTTCAGGACAAGGTCGGAACAGAGGGATCGGAGCACTGACATTTTACTTCGGAGTCCTCTCACTTTGCTGCAAGGACTCTTGGACGTGCTTCTCGTAGAGTGAGATGTTTCTGGGTTAACTAGTGGCATAAGTTTGGATATGAGGGCTTTTACTGACTGCTCAGCCCCAATGGAACCGGCCCAGTTAAGTTTTTTCGCGGGCCGACTGGTACAGTCGGCGTTATGTGGAGGTTGTCGGTATGACACTAAACGCGTCGGTTTAGGTTGATGGTGGCCTTGACACTGGGAGTAACTACTGTCTGCCTCGTCGCAGTGTTCTCGGTCTGCTTTCACAGCAGCGAATATTCCCGCCTGTGGTGCCCTTGACTTTATACCACCTCTCTAGCACTCTGGTAGGAAGTTCTGGGGATTCGAAGTTGACAGCCACTTGTCTAGGTGAGGTCTTAGTTGTCAGATGCGAGAGGTATGGCAGTCTGCTGATTGCCGCTACAGCAACCCCGCTCAGCTTCGCCCGAGCTGACAACAACCTTTATCGTTGGACGTGATGAGTGTATTTATCACCTGGGATACCAGTCGCCATCCCAGGCATTCCATGTGTGACCACGGCTGTGGGTTTTTGTGGATCAGCTGCTTCTCGAGGTGTCTTTCTTCCCACCCATGATCGATCGGGTCTAGCCCTGATGTCGAACAATCAGTTGGTGACCAGGGTGTTTGACAGTAAGATTAACCTTTCAACGTCCCTAGTTGAGCTCAGAGTCACTCTCATTTGCGGAGGTTTTCCTGAGAGTGAATGAGTGTCTTTGTACAGTCGACACAGTTTTGCCTAGAGGGCGCCCAGACCTAGCATGACACAAAAGGAGTTCTACTGTTGCCTGTCAAATATGTCCTTATGCCCCAGAAGGCTATCACTGCAAACAGTAAAGTTAAATAGAGTGATAGAGCTAGATCAGTCACTGATACCAACATTACCCGATCCCATAGGTGCGTTTTCGCGGATAATTCGAGCTTTCTTCTCTACAGCAACCCATCCGTTATGTTGTCCACTGGTTGCTGTCATTGATGTGGCTGCAGGGTTTGGGGTAGATAAAGTTGCCGCTGGTATGGGCCGTGTTTTGTTCGGCATAGAACCTTCCAGGTTTTTGACCTTCTGTAGGCCATTAACGAAATCCTTAGGAAGGTGAATCTCCTGCATGATAGCTGGTTGGGAGGACACCTGCTTTTTAGTGGCTACTGAAAATTTATCAGTTACTCTGAGTCAGCCTGAAGCTAGGTGCAGTCTCAGATGGCACTATGGGCAAATGTACCAGAACCGCATGGATGGGTGGCGCATCATAAAGATATAGTACCAATGTGGTGCTTCCTTGTCACATCGACGGTGACTCCGCCTGTTGCAGCGGCTGCACTCAAATGCTCCGTCACACCTTGTTACCGTGACAGCACATGTATGGCAGTCGCCGTCATGTCCATGGGGTTTGTCCGAACGCTTTCATCCCACTCTTTGACGTTTCTGCCCAGTGGTTCCCACTAGGCGGTCGGGATAGATGCTGGGGTTGGCATGGGGTCTGCTGGGAGGATTGGCGGTCCGGCTAACTTCGAGTGTTCCACGTCGTGACCGTCCGGCTGAACTAGACCTAGAT